AAGGATGAAGTCGAGGGCAGGGTAAGAGGAAGGGAGAAAAGAACAAGTGGAAAAGAACGAGATACAGATATCAGATAAAGGTAATGGAAAGGGGAGTGAGAAATCGTATCAGCTGTTGGAAAACGAACGACACTTATTAGCTTCTAAGTCTTGTCCACTTGCCCAGTCACCAGAGTGAGGGAAGGGGAGTGGAAGTGAAAGGGTGAGGAAATAAGGGAGGAGCATTATAAAGAAGAAAGGGGGGGAAGAAGGGACAGCGAGATGAAAGAAAGGAGGCCGAAGAAGGGAATAAAAGGAATGATAGATAGGAGAAAGGAACAAGGCAGAAACAACAAAAACCTAAAGGAATGAGAAAGTGAGGACGGCTCACTTTTTCCCTCATCAGTCCTGTCCTGTCGCATCACCTCACTGTCTCTTTCGTCTCACTCCCTCTCCCTTTCTCTTTCGAATGCATCTTCCAGCTGTTGCTGTCGCTATCATTGTCAGTATAATCATTTCATTTTAATTATTGTCATTATCATTATTTAGTAATAATTGTATTACTACTGGTCATTATATTCGTCGTCTTATTATCATTTCATACTACATTATCATTAATGTAATTATCATTTTCACTTATATCATCCCTCTTATTGTTATTCTTACCATTACCATTACTATTGCTATCATCATGAATATTGTTATAATCATTGCCATATTCACATTAACATTAATAAAGTCATCATCAACAACAATTGCCATATTAATAGAAATAATCATGATAAAAATCAATGTTAACATTAGAGTTTTCATTATCACAAAAACAATTATCTACATTGTTATTATTATTACTATTATCTTCATTTTATTGTCATAACTGTAATAACGATAGGAATAACATAATTATCATTGAAATTGTGATTACTACTCCTATTTATTATTTTCCTGTTCCTACCATTGTTATCATTATTATCAATATCGTTTTTATCATCATATCACTCCCAAATCTACTCTTATGCTGACTCTTTCAGCCTTTAGTCCCCTTGGGACAATCACTCTTTAATGTACTAAGCGAAATTAAACCAAATTGGGACGTTTGATACTTCCTTTGTTTGTTGGCTAAGCCTTATTTTTGTTACTGTTAGGTTTGCAAGTCTTTCACGACACAGTGTTTACAATATGCAATACAAAAGCGTGAGTATACCGTTCAGCCAAGTAAATGATAATTCTACGTAATTTGGAAATGATCAATGGCTCTTCTCGCGGCCCAGCCGGAGGCTAGTGCCTTCAAGTCACGCTAAGAAATTTATATGGAGTACCATAGCCATCAGTTTTCTTCCTCTTTTTTTCTTTCTCTGAAGCAACTCTTCGTTGATAATTTGCTTTTTACAATTTTATAATGTCACTCTTTCAGCAACTAAAGCAAAACAGTCAATTCTTGATCGTGACATGAATCAATCACCATACTTTTATTCACATCAGTTCATTGCACTAAATTGTCACTTTGCTGAGAATATGACATACATCAATGCACAACAAAGAGGCACAGGTTCTATAGCCTTATTCCCTTGGAATCTAAACCATAAATCCCCATTCCCCTTGGAATCCAAATCTAAATCCCTTTCCTCTTAGAATCCAGACTCTAAATCCCTCCCCTTGGAATCTCAACTCTGAATCCCTATTCCATTCGGTCACTGATTAGGGACTACCAAGAGCTTCCATCTGCCTGCGATGAGCATAGACCAAGAGGGAGCATCGGGCAAGGAAGATCATGCGCCCAAATGCCATCGAAAAATAACGAAATCAAGGAAAAGATCTTGCCGTCGCTGATCGGAAGAAAGGGGGAAATATTTCTTAGACAAAATGACTGAATACGAACGAGTCTGCCGATAGGAACGCAGGTCCGGAGTGAAAGATTTGATATCTATTGTCACGCTAATTTTGTTACATATATTTTGCCCTTGATTAGCACTTAGTGGCAGCAATGCCTACATATTATATGACGATACTTATGCAAATATGTATATTAATAATCTGATAGTAGCAGTGTTAACCTAACGTGAAGATAATGACATTATTAAACAACAATTGATACAAGAAAGACATAATTATCATAGTTTACTTATACCAACCACTATGACGATCATGAAACAGCTAATGAAGATACTTATAATACTAATGAGGATGATAATGCTACTACTACTACTACTGCTACTACTACTAAATAATAATAATAACCATAGAGAGCTCAGGAGGAGCATGGCGGGAAAGGAGGAGAAAGCAGGGAAGAGGGGAGGGGGGAGAAGGGAGATGCAAGGAAGATGGAGATACAAGGAAGACGGAAGACAATGCGGGGAAAAGGGGAAGGGAGAGGCGAAGGCTCAGGGTAAAGGCAAGCGAGGGAGGAAGAGAGAGAGAAAAAAATGAGATTAACGTAAGATACGAATAAGGGGCCAGAGGGAAAAAGTTCTAAACACAAGGACTCATGCAATATTAAATGCCGCCTCACTTTGTTTCTTTCTGTCTATTACAGCTCAGAAAATGTATACCAGCAAAATTATGATAAAAAAAAACAATTTTTCACGAAAACACAGTAACAGTGCACCAGTGATACTCGATATTCCCTTTAGATTGCTATCTTGAACTAAAGAACAATTGCAATTCTGATAATGATGAGATGGTGATACTGTGGGTATGGTGTTAAAGATAATAGTGACAGGCAATAGTAGCAGTGGGTATAATAGGATGGAATTTCAGTGAAACCACGACCAAAAAATACCATTACAGCTATTATGATCATGATCAAAGTAACGCTAATATTAGTTATACATTTTGTTAGGATATAATGGCACTAATAAATGATCCTCTTCTTCCATTACTGATAAAAGCGACATAAAATAAATTATCCCTCTCCACTCCTTTCTCTCGTCGTCCTACCTCCTTTTCCCTATCCTACCTCGTCCTATCCCTATCCTACCCGATTACTTTCAGTCATTATAACGAATATTATTTAGACTCGCAGCCATCTGGGCGTATGTGGAGACAAAAGCTTCACCAATAAAGAAGATCGTGGCAGTAAACAGAGAATTCACTGTAAAACAAGTGAGTAAAAGATTCAACCATCGGAGCATAGGCTTCACTGTGGAAGCATTGCGCTTCTCTAGGAATTGGCAGTGAACACAAGGCTCGCCTCATCACTATAAGGCTCACAATCACAAGGGGGTAGTAGTCACATCGTTTGATAAACAAACGCATAGAGGTATAACCCATGTCCATCACTAATGAAGAAAAAAACACTTTACATAATAATTTTAACATTGCATCAGCATCCCATCTTGGTTAATTACCAAAATCCCTGAAAATCACAATTTCCCTGCCCTCCTCCTGGTTCATTGTGAGTCTCATGCTCATTGCTTGGACAGCGAATCTTGCGTTCACTGCTCATTACTGAGAAGCCTTTTGCTTCAGCAGCGAAGCCTAAGCTTCGATAAAAGAGCTTCATACATTCGCTGCCACGACCCTCTCTTCTCGTGAAGCTTGTCTCCACGTCACCACTAATGGCTTTGAGTTTGAATGATATGTTCTTTGATATGGTATTAATTGTGACTAAAATCATATCAAATGAACATAGTTATCCCAATGCTTTAATCTGAATTTGTTCAGTTGATTAATGTTACAAATGCTGAAACACAGCACCATCGTCATCATGATTACCTTTTTTATACTCAGTATAATTATTACTATCGATACTGATAGTCATACCATTAGTACTAATACTACAGGCATTAAAACTCACTAATATCCATTATCATTATCCTAGTTATTGGATTAATATCATGGATGTGAATACCGTTTGTAAATATAATTACAATGATAAAAATCATTTCAGTTTTTGATGATCCGTAAGCGTTGGTAATTAACATTTTGGTAGAGCAATTAAGAGCACATAAAATATCAAATTTCAGCTCATAATTAGGGGCCAACGTCGTACTCCCTGACTCTGCCTTAAATGGGCATTTCTGAGCGCAGTCATGGGTATGTGAGAGCATTCAGCATCATGTTCTCACTTCGTTCGTCTTCGTGCTTTCTGCTTGCTCTCCTTCCATGGCAGTTTTACCCCTTCATCCATGGTGCGAAAAGGCCGACGACCCAGCGGCAGGGAGAAGGGGGACAAGGGATAGGCAAGGGGGGGAGCGAAAAAATATGATTAAATGTAGTATAAAGGAATAATTTGATATTTTGCCTTAAGTTCTATTTTTATCTTAGTTCTCCATTCATCCTTTTTCCTTCAATCTCCTTTTCTCTCGTTTAATTACTTTCGCCTTTAGCAATTTCCTCACAGCAACAGTGAGGAAAAGCTAAGGATCCAGCATTAAGAAAGTGGAAGGGGAGAAGGAGAATGGAAGGAAGGATGAGGTCGAAGGAAGGGCCAAGAGGAAGGAGAGGGGACAGAGAGGGAGAAAAGAACTCATGGGAAGGAAGAGATGGAGATATCAGGTAAGGTAGATGGAAGGAGTGAAAAAACGTGTCAGCTGTTGTTGGAAATCGAACGAGTTTTTTACTTCTAGATCTTGTCCACTTCACTCCAGTTATCAGAGTAACTGGATGAGAGTGAAAGTAAAAGAGGGGGGGAAATAAGGGAGGAGCATGATGAAAATAAATAAAAAAGGGGAACAAAGAAG